TCTCTAAATCCACCATTGTTCCTCATCATCCTGCCAGCAATGGGTTAGCCAAAGGAACCAATAAGAAAGTACTTGATGTCCTGAGAGCCACAATCAACCCCAATAGTGAAACTTGGGATGAAGTCATACCAGATGTCCAATGTGCCATAAATTTTGCTTACAATGCTTCCATAGGTGATACTCCACATTATGCATTGTGTGGTGTAGACAAGCATTTACCCTATGAGTTGTTATATTCCACTCCGAAACCTAATTACAACCCTGATGATTTCGTAGCAACTCGTACCAGCATGGCTCAAAGTGTTTTTAGAAGAATCCATGAAACACTTCATAAATCAACAGCAGAATTTACTAGAGTAACTAATAGCCGTGCTAAGCCATCAAAAGTAAAAGTAGGTTCAAGAGTAATGCTGACAAATTTCAATCAAAACATCCGAAATGCCTAAGCTCGATCAAAAGTTTGTCGGACCTTACCGAGTTGTAGAACATATCTCTGGTAATAAGTATAAGGTTAGAGAAATTAGTACTGGTAAGTACAAGGAATCGCATTTAGATCATATGAAATTAGTATGTGATGTTGATGATATTGCTACCCAGACTAATGTGACAGATGCTGAAAATCCTCTCGACTCTGTTCCCTCTACCTCAGATACTCAGTTAGATAATCAACCTGAATGTCGTTACTCCTTGCGTACTCGACAAGTAATGAGAAACCCATAAGTATCTTTTGTAGATACTCGTTCAAGTCTCCCTCAGTCAAGGCATGTGTTAGCCATTGCAGAGGAATTCGATCCTCCCAGAGATGATAACCATTCTGCGTATGTAAACCTCACCCTCCCAGAATTGGGCTTAAATGTACATAGTCTGTATAACTAGATGTCCGAGATGAAGTAAATTGTCAACTGTCTGTTATTAACTGATTAGTTTTTCAGAATTTTTTTTTTTTTGTATTCACGTTCCCTCCGTATTCTGAGAATTTGACAGTAATAGTCTGAGTGCACCAGATGCCTTTGCTGTTAATTTCACCTTGTATATATATATTTATTCTTCCTCAGAATCCGTAGAGTGCATGAATACAGATCGATCGATCAATTCCATCCATATTGTATAATGATTTGTTCTTATTGTAATGCATTACGTTAAAAATCATTACGTTGAAAGTGATTACGTTAACACCCATTACGTAAAATTCCTTTTGTTAACAACCATTATGATACCATCCATTAGTTTTACGTTATATATGAATTTGTTATTGTATAGAATCAGCCCAGAACCACCTGCCTGTTCAGCCTATAGATAGTAGTGTATGTCGAGACGACATACGTAACATGACCGAGCTGTCAGCATAGTTGCTGATCCCTGTGTTGTATAGCATATTAGTATCATCCATGTGCTTTAGATAGGAGATCCCTTTTAGGCCTGTGACTGACGTCACGGGATGCGCATGTGTACGGTCATACCTCTGCCTCCCTCTCAGTCGGCGTGGACATTCAGGCTAAGACAGGCAGAGGCTGGGCTCCATTTCTCTCATCATAGTCTGACAATATATATCGTTACCATCCAACAAGTGTGTCTACCTTCAACCCTCGATATCTCCATTTAAGAACCCCTATGATACTACACCCACGACTAATGAATCGTTGAGTGCATTTGCTGTTAGATTAGATAAACTTTTATCATCCCTTATCAATGCAGTCCAGTCCTCAGCCTTTGTCTTGATGAGGATAAACACTCCACAGCATCATTTTCTTAAATTGCTGGTTTTGGGGCAATCAAACTCATGCTGCCTGCTTCTGTGTTTGCTTATGAGGGTAATCCTCCAACTGTGAAGATGGAACCGCTTACAGCCCTAAATCATGTACATTCCTTGTGCCCCCAGGGTACTTTCCCATTTATCAAAAGTAATTTCACACCTATGCCTCGATCAACACCACCTCTTGTTTGTGTCACAGCGACAAATCGCCTATGACCAGTGTACCGAGTCATTATAACCCTCATATTATTCATAGTGCATTGAGTAACCATAGTCAGCAGACTTGTTACAACTATGGTTACCATGGCCATATTGCAGTTAATTGTCCTGATATTCACCCTAAGAGGTATCGTACTGATGAGTAGCAGTTAGATCTGCCGTTCTGAACTTATCATAGAATACATGGACATGACATATCCAAGTGCAGTGCTCTCTAACCTTCAGTACTCTCGATCTTTCTGTGGCCGTTTCAACCGCAGAACCAGGAAACAGGTCATGGTTCTCAAGAGTAACCAGAACCAGGCTCATTCTACCAATTTGGGGGAATTCGAGCACCCCAGTCAAACCGCTCCGTGAAGACAGTAGACGATAATGAATACACCATCCCTGTTCACAATTGCTTTGATGCCTTAAGCAGTCTCGAGAACGACAATCTCACTGATGATGTTGCTTCACATGTCTGATGAAAACCCTTTTTGCTTGCACATAACTTCCATTGCAACTATAGGTCCCAATAGTACGAGCATCTGTTTTTAATGGTCCCATTCACATGTTCATGGAATCTGGTGCACAAGTCAGTATTATCAGGTCTAGTTTGAGGATAAGCAGTTATGCCATGTCCTTCTCGCAGAATCGACTCGTGTATCCCCCCCTTTGTGGAGTAGCTGGTTCTTGCCTGCGTGTCTGAGGTCAGACTTCCCTCACCTTTTCTATCCAAGGTAGACTTTACTGTTTCCTTGTTGTCGACGAAATTACTTTCCCTGGTGATCTACTGGGATTTGCTTTTATGAGAGATATACACATTGTGCTCGACCCTTACTGATGACATGCCCAAACTGATTACTTGATCATACCATTTTGGGGTTACCAGCTTGGATCCAAGATCTACCATACTGCCAGAGTATGAAATCCTGCTCAAGTCCTTACAAGCCAGTGCATTTTCCGGTAGTGTACCCAAGCAGTCAGGCACTGGTGATCCTGTCACTCTTATGTGTTCCACCTACAATTTCAGGCATGCCTCAAGTGTCCGAGGAACCTCAGACTACTTTGAATGCTGAGCCTATCCCTGCAATGTGTGCTAGTTCAAGTAGTAGTTCCTCCACAGGGGATGCCTTGTGGGAAAATGACTACTTGCAACTAGCAATGCCATCTCTTGTTGATGTAACATGCCATCTGCAGAAAGACATTTCCGTTGCGGCTTGTGCCCTCACTAGTGTCTGTTGTTGTTCCTTGTGTTCTAAATGGTGATAACGTCCTAGTTGACAGTGATTCCTGCAAAGTCAAGGGTTTGTTTGTTGAGCCATCCTTACATGTTGTAGGAGATAGCAAGATCCATTTCTTCATTGCTAACACTTCTGGTCAGTGTTCGCCTCAGAGCAAATACCAATATTGTTGATCTTGTTTACTATCCTTACCCTGTTCAGTTAGGAGATGCCTTGTCACCTGACCAGTGGGTTGGTGCTATTTCAACTGGGGAGAGCCCATCCACTTCACTGGATCAATCCATTCCACCAGTAAAGAGACAGACAGACTTAGCTCCCACTGACTTCCCAGATGAGGTCAGGCATTTGTCGAATCTGTTTAACAAACGCATCTACTCTCCTTACCAGGTGAGAAGATGGGTATAACAAACTTATTGTCCCTTCATATCTCACTTGAGCTGGTACCTGACCTATTTATATACCTGCATACAGAATGCCTCATTCACAAGTTGCTATCACAGAAGAATTGATCAATAAGATGCTTGATGGAGTTATTGAACCTAGAAATTTGCCCTGGGATGCACCCTTAATTCTAGTACCTAAGAAGGACGATACTTGGCACCCAGTAATTGACTTTAGGAAGTTAAATGCGAAAACTATCCCAGATCGCTTCTCACTTCCTGTACTTGGTGACCTTTTACGTAACATCGGAGATAGTCTTTTTGATCCTGGACTTGTTACAAGGGTTTTGTCTAGTCCCTCTTCATGAGGACAGCCAAGAGCTAATTGCATTTTTCACTCCTACAGGTCATTATCACTTCCTCTGTATGGCTTTCGGGTTACAATCTTTGTCTATCACATTCTCGAGGCTCATTACCTGTAGACCTGGAGAGAGTTCCGGGGGTCAACACCCCGGCGGCCCAGTCTGTGACCAGGCCTCCTTAGGTCAGTGTCCCAGGATGCGACCCACACCAGTCGACTAACACCCAGGTACCCATTTTACTGATGGGGAACATAGACAACAGGTTGAAAGAAACACGTCCAATGTTTCTACTCTGGCTGGGAATCGAACCCAGGCCCTCACCGTGTGAGGCGAGAGCGTTAACCACCAGGCCACCAGAGCCCATGATTAATACCTTTAGAGGCCTCATAGGTAATGCACTTATGGGGTACTTAGATGACTTAATCGTCATGTGTGAAGATGTGGATATGCACTTGAGAAGACTACGTACTACCTGGTAAGCTTAAAGAAGCCAATTTAAAGATCAAACTGTCTAAATGTAACTTTTTCAGATTGGAAACTAAGTTTCTGGGTCACGTAGTCGCTCCTAAAGGGGTCATGACTGACCAAAGTAACTGCAGTATTAAATTTTCCATCTCCCAAAACTGCTAATGCCATAAGATCCTTCGTGGGCTTAGCAGGTTTTTATAGATCTTCCATTACCAATTTTTCTTCCATAGCAGCTCCTCTGAGTTGCTTAAGAAAGATGCTCCTTTCATTTGGACCTTCCATCAAGAAAGAGCATTCCAAACTAAAAGAAAAATTAACATCTGCTCCAATCTTTAAATTTCCAGATTTTTCTAAGCCCTTCTATCTGAAAACTGATGCTAGTTCAATTGGCATAGGTGCCATACTAGCTCAGAATACTGATGGCAAGTACAATGCAGTTGCATTTGCTAGCAAAGTCCTTACTAAGGCTTTAAAGCACTTCCAAGACATTATACATCAGTACTCTGTTCATGTCTTGACAGACCATGCTCCACTGATACCTTTATTCCAGAACAAATAACCTACTGGAAGGTTAGCCAGAGGGACCTTGACTATTCAAGAGTTCAATCCTACCTTTGAACACTTACCTGGCAAGTCAAATGTAGTTACAGATGCTCTATTGCACCATGTTGGTGTAGTAATGGCAGACCCTCCATTTAGTGCAGAGAACATAAAGAATGCTAAAAGAACAGATCCCATGTGGTCTGGTGTGATTCGATTCCTGCTCCAGGAAGATCTTATCCTGACTGAAGCCACCAGCACCCATCAATGACTCGTGAACCACAAATTACTGTATTGCACAGCCGAGTTGGGTACTCCAAGTAGAAGGGTATACCAGTTAGTAATTCGTCACTAGTGAATGTAGCCTTACAGCTAGTTCACGATGTACCAGGTGTTGCACACCCTGGTATGGATCATTCTGTAAAACAAGCCAGATTGAAATACTTTTGGCCTCGTATGGCAACTGATATTTCTGAGTATGTTAAGAAATGTAGTGCATGGAACACGAAGACAATGTTAATGGTCCTAATCCAACCCAGGTGTATCCAATTACTAGCGACCCATGGGAAAGACTTGCACTAGATCTGTTAACTAATTTCTGATGTTCTCTCCAGGGTAACCGTGTTATGGAAGATCATTTCACCAGATACTGCGAGTTAGTTCCTACTGCAGATAAGACTGTAGAAACAGTAGCTAAAGCAGTTAAAGAATGCATCATCTGCAGGCATACAACTCCGAAGTCCCTAGTAACTGAAAATAGGGGTGAATTCTGTAATGAGATTCTTGAAAATTTGTGTACTTTGAACAAGATCTCTAAATCTACCATTGTTCCTCACCATCCTGCCAGTAATGGGTTAGTGGAAAGAACCAATAAGAAAGTACTTGATGTCTTGAGACCCACTATCAATCCCAATAGTGAGACTTGGGATGAAGTTATACCTGATGTTCAGTGCGCCATTAATTCGGCTTAGTGTTTTTATGGGTGACACTCCACATCATGCATTGTACAAGTGTCTGCCTTACGAATTATATTCTAGCCCAAAACCAAATTACAACCCTGATGATTTTATAGCAACTCGTACCAGATTAGCTCAGTGTTTTTAGAAGAATCTTTGAAACACTTCTTAAAACAATAGAAGAAATTACAAGAGTAACTAATACTCGAGCAAAGCCAACCAAAACTGAGTTTTGCTAATAAAATGTCTGCAATGCCTAAGTGCAACCAAAAGTTTGTTGGTCCTTACTGAGTAGTTGAACACACCAATGGAAATAAGTATAAGGCTAGAGAAATTAGTACTGGTCAGTATAAAGAATTGCATTTAGATCATATGAAGTTAGTATGTGATGATAATGATGTTCCTACCCAGACTAATGTGACAGACTGACAATACTCCTGACTCTGTACCCTCTACCTCTAATAGTCAGATGATCAACCTGAATGTCGTTTTTCCCTATGCACACAAGTATTGAGAAATCCTCAAATATCATTTGTAAATACCAATTAAGATCTGCCTCAACCACAGCATGAGTTAGCCAGTACAACAGTTTGAGCCTCCCAGAGATACCCATTCTGCATATGTAAATCTCACCCTAGCAGAGTTGGGGTTAAATGTCAATAACCTGTACAGATGAATATTATAGTTTAAAATGTATTTCAACTGTCTGTTACAATCAACTTTGTAATATTCAGAGTGTGTGTGTGTGTGTGTGTGTGTGTGTGTGTGTGTGTGTGTGTGTGTGTGTGTGTGTGTATGTGTGTGTGTGTATGTGTGTGATGTGTGTGTATGTGTGTGTATGTAGTGTGTGTATGTGTGTGTGTATGTGTGTGTATGTGTGTGTATGTGTATGTGTGTGTGTGTATGTGTGTGTATGTGTGTATGTATGGTGTGTGTATGGTATGTGTGTGTATGGTGTGTGTATGGTGTGTGTGGTGTGTGTATGGTGTGTGTATGGTGTATGTATGGTGTGTTGTATGTATGGTGTATGTATGTGTGTGTATGGTGTGTGTATGGTGTGTGTATGGTGTGTGTATGGTGTGTATGTGTGTGTGTGCATGTGTGTGTGTGCATGTGTGTGTGAATGTGTGTGTGTGAATGTGTGTGTGTGCATGTGTGTGTGTGCATGTGTGTGTGTGCATGTGTGTGTGTGCATGTGTGTGTGCATGTGTGTGTGCATGTGTGTGTGCATGTGTGTGTGCATGTGTGTGTGTGCATATGTGCATGTGTGTGCATGTGTGTGCCTGTGTGTGCGTGTGTGTGCGCATGCGTGCGTGTGCACATGCGTGTGTGCGTGTGTGCGCGTGTGTGCGTGTGCGTATGCGCACATTCTCTAAATTCTGATATTTAACAGTCTAGATTTAAGTGCACCAAGTCTGCCTTTTCCGTTAAACACTTCTTTCTTTGTACATATCCTTCCTCAGAATCTGTAGATCACATGAATACTGATCGATCAATCAATTTTTATCACTTTTATTGTATAATCCCACTGTTGAATCTATTGCTTCTATGAACTGTCCTATATCATACGTTGTAATGCATTACAATAAGTTCCATTACATTAGCTTCCATCCTGATAATCTCCTTATGTATGTTATAATGTTCAACTGTTGTGTACTTTGACACTATATAGAATCAGCCCAAAGCCGTATGCCTGTCACCTCTAGTTTGTATTAGCCATGTGTCAGGACGCCATACGTTAGCATCGCCGAGCTCTCAGTAGTATCAGTTACCAGTAGTTCCAGTAGTGATGACTCATACCAACCGTTACCGATTCACCGCCTCTGGCATGAATTACTGACTTATATCACTGACCGTTACTGCTGAGCTAGTATGATTTGTATGCCGCTCACCCTCCAGAGGGGGACGGAGAGAGACGGGGATGGAGACAGAGGGGGATGGAAAGAGGTGGATGGAGAGAAAGGGATGGATGGAGGAGAGAGACAAGCATAAGAGTTTTACACCATTGTCATAAATCATCAGTTGACAAGTCTTCCATTGTTATTGACTCCTAGGTTAAACTGTATATATCTGCCAATACTAATTTGGCCTTACCTATCAACATTAAGTCTCGCAGCTAACATTCGCCAGTCGTTGCCTCGTGCATTAGGCGGGTCGAGACAACGACAGAGTTCCCAGCGGAGACGCTGAGGTAGACGGAAGGCACCTGGCTCGGGAGTCAGCTCCACCAGAGATGAACACCCACTACTAGATGTCACTGTAATGAATTAATGTTCAATATTTACATTTCTCTAGGTAGTAGGTTGGTAGACAGCAGCCGCCCAGGGAGGTACTACTGTCCTGCCAAGTGAATGTAAAATGAAAGCCTGTAATTGTTTTACATGATGGTAAGATTGCTGGTGTTTTTTCTGTCTCAAACATGCAAAGTTTCAGGTACGTCTTGTTACTTCTACTTACACTTAGGTCACACTACACATACATGTACAAGCATATATATACACACCTCTCTGGGTTTTCTTCTATTTTCTTACTAGTTCTTGTTCTTGTTTATTTCCTCTTATCTCCATGGGGAAGTGGAACAGAATTCTTCCTCCGTAAGCTATGCATGTTGTAAGAGGCGACTAAAATGCCAGGAGCAATGGGCTAGTAACCCCTTCTCCTGTGTATATTACTAAATGTGAAAGGAGAAACTGTTTTTCCTTTTTGGCCACCCCACCTCGGTGGGATACGGCCGGTGTGTTTAAAGAAAGATTTACATTTCTTACTTTATGTTTACAAAACACAAAGCAATAATTACACTAGCCAACAAAGGTTTTAGTTTACCAATATTTAAAAACTATGATTTTGGGGATGCTGACAAATCTGAAATTAGTAAAGTTAATGAATTTATGCTAAAGATTAGTTTGCCATACACCACACTTAACATCAATGCATAATAATGATTGTTAGGCAACATACATGATGTGGTTCTGCAACCTTAAAAAAAAAAACTTCATGACAGATTATCAAACTCGGATTTTTATCCAGTTTGGGAACCAAACTGGATAAGTTCAATTTCGTTGGCTAGTGTAAAGTATGTGAAGAAAAAACTAAAAACTAATGTTTGAAGACAGTGTTTATTTTTTATTTACAATGGGCAAATTAGATATTTTTTTCTCTAGGTAAACAAAAAAGAATACCTAGACATTTCCTGAACATTTCTTAGAGTTCTTTGAATTCATGATTTTTTCAGAAATAATGCTAATGTTTTTGAGACTAAATTCATAATTATGTAAATGGTTAATTATTGCTAGCTAGCTTGCTGGCTTAGGGCCCCCATTTCCTGGAATTACGTAATCTCTTGGCTATCGCCCAGATGTGGTGTAGATGTGATGTAGATTAAATTGTCTTGATGAATGCAATGATGTTCCTACCATTCCATTAACATACTTTTATTAGAATGTGATGGCATATTTTGTGTGCCTATAAGTAAAAGGAGACATCTTAAGTCTTTTTTTTTCAAATTTTCAAAATACTTTGAATTCTCACCTGTAGATGTCCGGGGAGCTACATGTGCTGGAGAGGCTGTGACAGGGGCATAAGGGAAGTCAGTATTTATTCTGATGACTTGACGGTGTGTGGAGGATCCCTTCTGTTGGGCCACCGTCCGACACGCTAGGGGCGCCGACGACCCTTCTGTGCGCTCCAGAGTAAAGGCCGCACTCACTGGATCATTCTTGGCACCCCACAATGTCTCAAATGATATTTCCTGAGAAGAACAGTCAAGAAAACTTATAATTTTAAAATAATTTACTTGGTGAATACAATATTATAAAAGATTCGACAAAGCGAGCATAACACAAATAACTGGGCTATAAATGATTGCCACAAAATACAATGCACAATAAGGCCAAACTTACATTTCTGAAAATTCATCCAAAGTCGACTGTTGGTACACAGAACCTCATTTCCGAGCCATAACAACTAATTTACGTTAATATTATCTCAAACTATTTTACCCATTTACTACTGTTCAGTTCTGTTCTGTTTAATTTATATTGTTAATAAACAAAACCGTCACAAAACAGTACAAAATACAATACAGAGGTGTAGGTCGAAAACTGACCTCTCTCTCTTCCTCGCATCATATTTAACATATATCCTTGGCATATAATATCCACTTTCTAACTGCTTAGTATAAACTTTGGCAATTGATACCAACATGAGTTTTGCAAAGTCACTTGAGTAAACAAAAATGTAATGATCTAGTGCAGCGATTCTCAACCAGGGAAAAAAGTCACCCCTTGGGGGTAAAAAAATTACATGGCAATGGGTAAATATTCGATGTACCTGATAATTGAATAATTCAATTAAATTTCATTTTGTAAAATATGCGTCTATGTATGCATGTATGTATGTATAACAGTTGCACGACTAATTCATATTTCTTTTCATATTTTGTCATGTCCAAGAAACGTACATACCTGGATTCATATGTACAATATGGCTTTGACTTTATTGTTGTGGATGGTGTGGAGAAGCCTCTCTGTCTACTGTGCTCAAAAGTTCTTGGAAATGGGTCACTGAAACCTTCAATGTTGAAACAGCATCTGGAAGCTACAGATCCTGCCCATGCATCTGATAACCGTGCTACATTTGAGGCAAAGAGCTAGGTTTAGGGCTGCAGAACACTGCCCAAGGCTTCATATCCGAGAAGAAACTAATACTTGCAGCTTCCTATCATATAGCGATGCTAACAGCAAAGGCAAAGAAGCCTCATGATATAGCCGAGAAGTTGATTAAACCTTGTGCCTTAGACATGGCTGAACATGTATGTGGGAATAAAGAAAAAACAGAAGATTCAAGCCATTCCCCTTTCTAATGACAATTCATCGGCGTATTATAGAAATACCGCAAGATATATGTCAAGTTATTGAACAGATCAAATCAAGACCAGGAAAAACTTCTTTGAAACTTTACATATCCTATGATGTAGCCAATTTTTCACATCTTGTTTTTATCAGTTATATATGTGGAAAAGAACTAAAAAATGAATTTCTCTTTTGCGAACCTCTCGAACAAACCACAAAGCCTACTGACATAATGCAAAAAAATACAAGACTTCTTTGAAAAGAACGATCTCACATGGGACATTGTTGGTTCATTATTATTATAATCAAAAAGAAGCGTTAAGCCACAAGGGCTATACAGCGCTGCAGGGTAGGGAAGGAAGCGAGGGTATTGGATGGCAGAATGGAGGAGGGATGATCAGTAGGTTACAGAAAACAGCGGGGCAGGGGATAGTACGGGGGTAGAGGGTAGCAAGAGATTGAAGTAGAAAGGGCTGAAGGTATCAGAATTTGTGAAGTCAGTTGTCAAAAAGTCAATGAGAGAGTCCGGATGAAAGGTGGGTCCATCAGCGAGAAGGGAAGGTAAAGAGAGAGCAGCGGAGCGAAGACGACGACGGAGGTAAATTCTGTGTGCTCGTTGATAAAGTGGGCAGTCCAACAGAATGTGGCTGATTGATAATGGAACTTGGCAATTCTCAGAGAGGCGCAGAGCGCCTCTCCATGAGATATCTATGAATAAGACGAGTATGGCCAATGCGAAGACGGGAGAGAGTAGTCTCCCAACCTCGACACTGGTGATAAGAAGACGGCCAGTAACCTATACTTGGTTTAATAGATTGAAGTTTGTTGCAAAGCATAGTAGACCAACGGTGTTGCCAATGGGTGTGAAGGTGGGAAGATATTGCAGCAAAATAGTCCGTAAATGGAATACCTCTATGAAACTGGTAGGTCATGTACTGTTGACCGCGCAGCAGTGTCTGCCTGTTCATTGCCCTGTACGTCAACATGACCAGGGACCCAACAAAAAACAATATCTTTATGCTTGGTAAAGATGCAGCATAGCCAAAGTTGGATACGGAGGACTAAGGGGTGAGGTGTATCAATTTTCTGTATAGCCTGTAAAGCACTAAGGGAGTCTGAGACAACCACAAATGATGACACAGGCATAGATGCAATACGGATAAGTGCTGCAAGAATGGCATACAATTCAGAAGTAAAAATACTAGCTGAAGATAGTAAATGCCCTTGAACGATGCTGTCCGGAAACACTGCTGCGAATCCTACGCCATCAGAAGAGTTAGAGCCATCTGTGTACACAACAATGGCATGAGAAAGAGTGAAAGTGGTCAAGAAAAAGAGCGGGAAGTGACTGTAGACAGTTGGGATTTCGAGCAAGGGAGAAAGAACATACTCAAACAGCTGGAACTTCCCAAGGGGGTAGGGAAAAGCGAGATGCTACATGAACATAGAAAGGTGGTAACTGAAGAGAAGACGAGCGAATGAAGGCGAAGAGAGAAGGGATGGAGTAAACAGGGGCGGCGAACAAATAAAGAATGTCTACTAATATCAGTGACCATTCTATAAATGGAAGGATTGCGGAGATCATGAAAGCGCACATAGTAGCGAAGGCAATGGGCATCACAGCGATCGGATAAGGATGGAACGTTCGCTTCTGCATAGAGGCTCTCGACAGGGGAAGAGCGAAAAGCACCAAGGCATAAACGTAATCCTTGGTGATGAATGGGGTTAAGGTTAGAGAGAGTAGCAGGAGATGCCGCTGAATAGATCTGGTCACCATAATCAAGCTTCGATAAAATAAGGGTGGAATGTAGGCGAAGGAGGGTTCGACGATCAGCTCCCCATGATTATTATTATAATCAAAAAGAAGCGCTAAGCCACAAGGGCTATCA